AAACTTGGGCTGTTAGGCCTAAACTGGTGGGTCAGTTCAAAAATATTGGAGGTAGTTCAGCAGTGGCTTGGTTGGAAGCAGAGTTTACAGAGGAGGAAGTTAGTCATGTGATTAAGAGCTGTGAAGGCAACAAAGCACCTGGGCCTGATGGGTTTAATTTGACCTTTTTTAAGAAATGCTGGGGAATGGTTAAGTTTGAGATAATGCAATTCTTTAGGGAGTTCCATCATAATGCCACTCTGGTTAGTGGTTTAAATAGTTCATTCATTGCTCTAATTCCCAAAGTGGATAGCCCATCAAGCTTGAATGAATATCGGCCCATTAGTCTTATCGGTTCTTTGTACAAAATTCTTGCTAAGGTCTTGGCAAATAGAATGAAGCATGTGATGCCAAGAATCATTAGTGAGTCTCAATCAGCATTTTTGGAGGGTAGGAATATTCTGGATGGGATCCTTATTGCAAATGAGGTAGTTGATGGGTGGAGAAAATCGAATAAGAAAGGTCTAGTGTTGAAACTAGACTTTGAAAAGGCTTACGATTCGGTCAATTGGGATTTCTTGTTTAATATGTGTGCTAATTTCGGATTTGGTGAAAAATGGGTGAGATGGTTGCAAGCTTGTGTAGCCTCCACAAAAGTGTCAGTTTTAGTGAATGGTTCACCTACTGAGGAGTTTTGCCCATAGAGAGGCCTACGGCAAGGGGACCCATTATCCCCTTTCCTATTTAATATAGTGGCTGAGGGACTTAATATCTTGTTTGACAAAGCAAAAGAAATGAGTTTAATTGAAGGAGTTACCATAGGCAATCATGGGGTAAAAGTAACGCACCTACAATTTGCTGATGATACAATTCTGTTTTGTGAAGCTCAGTGGGTGGAAGTGGTAACCGTTAAAAGAATACTTAGGTGTTTTGAACTTATATCAGGGCTGAAAATTAATTATCACAAGAGTGTGATTGCTGGGGTTGGTGTGGATGAAGAGCTGTTACAAGGTTTTGCTTCTCGATTAGATTGCACATATCAAAACTTGCCTCTAAAGTACCTTGGGTTACCTCTAGGAGCCAAACCTGGGAGGAAAAGTACTTGGAAACCAGTCTTGGACAGATTTAAACAGAAACTACCCTCATGGAAGAGAATGTTGCTCTCGTTTGCTGGGAGGCTAACTTTGATTAAATCTGTTTTGAGTAACTTGCCTATTTACCACATGTCCTTGTTTGAACTACCAGTGGGGGTGGCTAAAGAAATTGATAAAATTCAAGCAAATTTCCTATGGGAGGGTTCAGATCTAAGAAGAAAAGTTCACATGGTTAAATGGGAAGCCATTACCAAGAGTAAAAATTTAGGAGGCTTGGGAGTTAGAAGATCTGCAGATATGAATAAGTGTTTATTGATGAAATGGTGGTGGAGGTTTGGGGCAGAAAATCACACTTTGTGGAAGGATGTTATATGTTCAAAGTATAATATGGGGGGTGGAAGGTGGCTGCCACATATGGAAGGAAATATCAGAGCTTCAAAAATCGGGTCTGATATAATTAATACAGTTAGATCTCTGCCTGAATGTTTAAATTTCTATCTTGATAATGCAGCCATTCAGCTGGGAAATGGTAGGAGAGCTCAATTTTGGTTAGATAAATGATCCGGGGAATTGTGTCTTATGACTGAGTTTCCCAGACTATTCTCTTTGTCCACCGATAAGTATGGAACAGTTTCTGAATTTTATTCCAGAAGAGGAGGGCTGCAGGATTGGAATTTGGATTTTAGGAGGCCTTTGTTGGCCTGGGAGGAGGAGGAGGTTCATAGGTTATATATCTTAATCAGTACTGTACCAGCTCTTCGGGTCTCAAGTCCAGATATTTGGAAATGGAAGGCTGATCCAGCTGGGTTGTTCTCTGTTGCATCAGTGTACAAAAGATGTGAATTGTCCTTGGGGCCTGTTAGGAATATGGCAGTGGCAGTTTGGCATAACTGTGCTCCACCTAAAGTTAAATTCTTTGGGTGGTTGGCATGGCAAGGTAAGGTGAAAACATCAAGTTTCCTGCAAAGAATAGGGATCTTAGATGTGAATGCTAATGTGGGTTGTGTCTTCTGTCATGATGAGGTGGAAACAATCTATCATATCTTGCTATTTTGCCCTTTTGCTTGGCTGCTGTGGTCCCATATTATGAAATGGTGGGGTGTACAGTGGGTTATACCAAACTCAGTGGAAAGATTGTTGGAATGGTGGTCATTTTCTAAGATGAAAAAGATTGAGAAGCAGCTATGGAAGGTGGTACCTTTGGCTGTCCTTTGGTCCATATGGAAGCATAGAGACGACTGTGTGTTTAATGGGTTACAGCCAAATGTTGAAGATCTCTGTAAGCTGGTCAAAGTAGGAATAGCTGTGTGGGTTAAATCTTCCCCAGTCAAACTGGAGTTCTCTGTCAATGATATAGTCCTTAACTTGCAGCAGGTCCAATATTGTATTCGTCATAGGAGTTGAGTATTGATCCTGGAGTGTGTTTCTACTGGAGTATATATCAGGTTCAGTTCCTGCAGGAGTGTGTATCTGAGGTTCTGGTTCAGAGTCTGTCCTGCTGGACTGTGAGGCTCAGTGGTGGATTGTTTTGTGGGACTGCCTTGATGGTGCTTTGGTGTAGTGGTGTGCAATATAAGGTTGAACGCATTTCTTGTCCCTTGGTAGGTTGCTTGTTACTGATCTGCTGCTGTATGCTGGTTTGTGCAGCTTTTGGTCTGAGCAGCTACTGCTGGTGGAAGTCTACTGATGGAAGTTCTATTGGTGCCCCAAAGTAAATTTTGGAAGTCTGCTTGTGGCTTTAGTCAGTTTAAGGTTAAAACTGTATGTTGCTGTGGCTGCTGTCAATTTTGTTCTGTTGTTTTGCCTTAATTTTGCACAGATGGTGGAGTTATAGGAAATTGGTAGGTATGCTGTTGCTGAGCAGATTGGCTGAGCAGATTAGCCAATTAAATGGAATGTGCCTTGTTGATGCAGAGTTAAGCCACAAATCAGTAGGTATGAGTTAAGCCACAGGTTCTGCATCAGGACCTGTTCTGCTGGATGACCTGTTCTGCTATGCCATGGCTGGAGGAATGGGACCTGAACTGATGTCTGTTGTCTGCTGATGTGTCAATTGCTAGGTTTTGACAAGTTTATTCAACCCTTTGCATCTGCAAGAGGCTGGGACATCCTCATGGTAGCTTTATGATCTGTTCAAAGGGTGCTTTTTGATCTGTTCTGTTTTATGATCTGTGGAATAATGCTGTATGCTTTATGATCTGTTCACCTGGTAGCTTTATGATTTGTTCTATTTTAGCTGTGGAATAATGCTCCAGCGGAGGGGTTTTGTGGATGTATGGTCTTCAAATGGTGCTTTATGATGAGAATGCAGGAGTGGGGAAAGTGTTACTGAATAGACCCAAGATATTAATTATCCTCAACTTGGATATGCTTTGAATATGCCAGCAGTTGAAGGAGTATTTTGTGCTACTTCTGGAGTAGTCTGTTCTGCTGTCCTATGGTGTGTCTGCTGCTGGTGTCTGTCTGCTGGTTATCTTGGGTGCTTATTTCTTTAGTGTTGCTAGGAGAGTGCAACAGTCATGCAGTTTTGGGATGCAAATTGGCAGAATTGGAAGGCTGTGTGATTGGGTGGTCTTTTCTACTGTTAGTTTTGTTTCTTTGTTTTGGATTGGTTTCTCGCCAATTTGTGGGTTTAGTGTTAGCAGATGATTGTGCTTCCTCCTTGGTGCCAACCTAGTTGGGATTGTGGAGTGTTAGCTTTGATGCTTTTTGCACTTCCCTCCTTTATTGATGTATTTTGTTGCATTTTTGCTTATCTCATCAATAAAGTTTACTTTTTTTTTGCTGATAAAAAAAACTTCACAGTACTAGAAAATTAGTTAAGATATATATAAACTAACACTGACACATAGTTATAAAAAAATAATAATAATAACATATAGTTAATTGTTATCAACATTTCACTAAAAGAATTATACTAAACAAAACATTTTTTATTTTTATTTTTTCACAATCCCATGAAAAACTAGCCAATGCATGAGCATATCAATACACAACCTAACATGTTGCATATCTTTCTGGAGCAAGGATCCTCTAGAGTTTTTTTTCCCTAAAATTTCCTAGAGTGATGTATTGTGTGGTTGAGATTTAATGACAAATCACATCAATTTTTCAACATTAAATTTCAACCACACAATACACCACTTTAGGAAACTTTAAAAAAAAAACACTCTAGAGGATCCTTGGTGATCTTTCTCAATTCATTCGTTCTTTCTTTTGGTGTCTATCATAAAAACCTAGCTACTACCCGTAAAAAAAAAAGAAAAGAAAAAAAAGGTGTGTCACGGCCGAACTCCAGTACTTTGACTGTTTGGTAGAACTGTGGGAAAGCGCTTATAGCTTATGCCTAAACAGCTTATAGCTTATAACTTTCAGCTTAAGTTAATTTCCAGTTTATTCTTAAAGCATCTCCTGCCCCACTCAAAGAAGAAGCTAATTTCTGACTTCCACAAAGCTATAAGCTATAAGCTATAAGCTAAACCAAACACATCAAAATAGCTTAAATTAAGCTGAAAGCTGAAATAAGCTGTAAATAATTTCTGCCAAACAGGCACACTGAGAGGTTAGACATCGCTACTATTACTAAAGGTTAATTTTAAATTTAACATATTAATAACACAGCAGAATAAAATAAAATGATACCTAAATATTTATTTTATTTAAAACATATATTGGAATTTTTATTTATTTATATTGTCAAAGTTAGACTATATTTACAAAGGGGTATGGCTTCTGTCCAGTTTAGGATCGGACTGGACCGTGCTGTTGGGTCCGTGGGGGTACAACGTGGGTCCCGTTTTGATAATCTGAACCGTTCAATGTGTAAAAATCGTCAAGTACTATATGTCTGTGAAAAATCACGTTGATTGGATATCGATAGCTATGTGATCAAAACAGTTTTTTGTCAACCGTTAATTTGTTCACCGTTCAATTTTTTTAATACGAAACTGATTTGATCATATAGCTATCGATATCCGATCAATGTGATTTTTTACAACATATAGTACTCGACGAGATCTACATATTGAACGGTTCAGATTATCAAAATAGAATCCATGGTGGGCCTCCATCGGCCCAACAGCACACTCCAGTCTGATCCCAGACTGGACAGAAGCCATACCCTTTACAAAGTACCCTGTGTCCACTTCAAGCCCTGGCCTGTCACTTCCAACTTATGAACATTGGGTTAAAACCTCTCCTTAAGTTTCATCACCTGAAAGTGTATAATAATTATAAATACATGACAAAATAAAAAATATTATATTAAAAATATAAGAGTATAAAGTCACATGAATAATTATTTAAGCTAATCAATAAATACTTTAGTTCGAATAAAAAAATTATTTTAAATAATAAAAATATAATGCATAAATCATATAGCTAAAATAATCATAATCACGATATAGAACAGAATAAAAGGTTAATGGATCCATGACAAATAGAGAGTCACTAAAATGACTAATAAGAAGCGCAATGGTTATTTAAGTTCCCTAAGACATGAGACCTCTGTGGTAGTACTTACACAATACATCATCAAATATCAAATCAAAATCGGATTTAATAAACAGTTTATATTCATAAATTTCCATTTTAAACAAATAGGGTTTATTAAGAAATAATATATTTGAAATGCTAATATAATTTATAAGCATGATTTACGTAAAATAGTTTATAAGAACTCAAATTATAATATAACTCACCTCAATATAAATTCTTAATTTTTACTTTCCTGAAATTTTAAAAATATTTAACAGAATTTAATTTATTTTATAATTAATATACACCAATTAAATTAATCTATCGTAACCACTAGACTTCTAAGATAAATTGAATAATTACATTATAATTTACCGCCACCCTTTCTTTTAATTACTTTTTGGCCCAACAAATTGAATAATTACATCATAATCTTTTGATAAAACATAACGGCCTCTAATTTTAAATTAAATTACATTTTAACACATATAATTATAAAATTAATTATTTTTTTAACCACCATTAGTTGATAAAATTAATTAAACATGTGTCAAAGAAAGAGAAGGAGGGAAACTTCTAACCGATGAAATCTCCACTGATGGACCATTGTTGTCCTCGAGTGTACCACACCCTCATTGATCTTCTTGCTTCTGGAACGAAGCAACTTCGACCAAAACCCACTTTTCTTCTTCCCATCTCTAACCTCTCCTCTTTGAGCTCGAGCAACAGAAGCCATGGATTTACTTTTTGTAAGCACATTTTTGGCACTCCTCAAGAAAGACATGGTGATGGACTTTTTTGCCTCTAAAGCCAAACTGTATACACTATGTACCGGAGATGACTCAGAAGAGTGATGGGAAGAAGATAAAGAAGAACAGGAAGAAGCCATGGTGGTGGTGTTAGTACGTGAACTTGGTGAAGATAACTGAGAGAGTCTCTCTGACAAACAAACCGAGCAAACACCCGGTGATTGCCTGTGTTTCAGGTGCTTCTTGCACTGTACATCGGACTTTGATTGATTGATTTGGTGATTCTTTGATATCTTGTTTTTCATTTTTTGTTTTGTTTTGTTTTTTTTGCTTTTGCGCTTGTTATAGTGCATGTATGTTCATATACCGAGTTTCCATGAGGGTTCCAAGTGAGCTTCGTTGTGTGTTTCACAAAATGACTTTTTTGACTGAGGGTTCCAAGTGAGCTTCGTTGTGTGCTTCACAAAATGACTTTTTTGACTGTTTGTAAGTTTGACAGGTTTGTTTGAGGATTTGGTGGACAGTTGAGATGAAAGTGGAGCGTACACGTGGGATTGAATGGAATAGTCAGTCGAATGAGTCAGATACCGAGTTTAAAAAAAAAACATCTGAGATGCTTTATGTGGAAAGCATCTAGCCTTTATGTGGAGAAATTATACTCCATTTATATTTAAATAAATGTTTAATTGTTTCCCTGAAGGGATAAATTAGTAGTGAAACCTATTGTTTTAATTAATAATAGTAACGTTAGAGCATCACCTAAATTTGTCACTATAATATATAAGAATTTTAAAAATTAAATATTTTAGTATTTAAAAGTAAAAATTTTGTTATAAAAGATATTTATGAACAAATTTCCATCGTTATGAGGATTATCGTTAAAAGGTCAACTCGAAAAGTCAAAAACAAGACTTTTAACGATAATTTTTAAAATGTCACTAATAAATAGATTTTTAGAAACAATATAATTTGATTTCAAAATGTTTATTTTTTGAGACAAAAAATTTGATCCTGAAAGGATAATAATTCGTCACTAATATCTAATTTTTGTTACCAAAAATATAATAATGACACTTTTCGTAACAAAATTATTTAGTCTATAAAAAATAATTTTACCCATAAATTTAATTTCTAAAACCTTAGGTTGCGTTTGGTAGAGTTTTCTAAATGTGATTGTAAGTTTTGGAATTATGATTTGAGTGTGAAAAATTTGTTTGGTGAATGAGTTTTGAAAAGAGTTTTGAATTGAGTAGGAAAATTTTGATGTGACATGTAATATTTGACACAAAAATTTACAACTCATAACCAAACACACAACTCAAAATTCTATTCAAATCTTATAAAAAATTTTAAAAAATTTTGAATTTTTTTTTAATTTAAAATATAAAAAACATAAAAAAAATACACTGTTCCCACCAACCGACTAGATGTCTGAGAGGACGACCCGTAGCCCAAAATTTCCCACATTGGACTGAGTTTTCAAAAGTGAGTAGAATTAATTTTTAAAAACCATAAACAAGCACCACACTCAAATGTAATGGTAGAATTAAGTTTAGAGAGTTCTACCAAACCAGAGCCTTTTTTGTAGTGTGCCCTTGGAACAATGAATAATTTCTCCTTTAAAGGTGGGCCAATGTGGAAAAACTGTATCCATTCCAAATTAGAAGCAGAAAGTGAATTCAACTATAAACAAACAACAATCAAAGTGGATTTTGGGTATATATAATTATGATCTCTCTGTTGTATTATATTTTTAATGAGAAATTTTTATAATTGATTTGGTGAGATTTTATAATTGAATTAGTGGGGGAGAGAGAAGGCAGCCCCTTAAATTTTTTTTTTTATTAGCAAAAATTTTTTTATTGATAAAAAAAGCAAGATACATGCATAAACTTATATCAACAAAGAAAGAAAGTGCAAATAGCATCATAACTAACCTTACCAGTCCCAACTAGGTTGGCACTGATAAGGAAGCGCAATCTTTATCAAAAAATAAGAATTTTTTGCACTTCCCTTAAGAAGGCAGCCCCTTAATACTTCAAAATTTATCAAAAAATAAGGTCGGACTTTGGTGTACCATGTAACCCTTATATGTATATTAAAAAATATTTTTATTATTGGTGAATTATTTTTAGCGAAATGACATGAAATCTGAAATTCTTCTTTGAAACTACATTCATTTGGAATGCTGCTATGGTTTTGGCATGTCAAGCTATTGTTTATTTATTTATTTATTTAAATTTATGCTTAAAAATTTATTATCTTTACACAATTGAATTCCTACTCCTCTCTTCTCTTATCTGGGTAATCATTTTTTTAGTATAGCATAAGCATGTTCTTTTGGAGAAGATGACAGGACATGAAAATCAGTAAAGAAACTGCTGTTAATGCCATGTTTTGGTGATTTTAAATTTTCAAAGTTGTTAATCAAATCTTACCTTCCATCAACCATGCCAACGAAATAAAATAAATGAAATGAGGGAAAATTCTAACAGATGAAAAAACATAAAATCTCCATTAATGGACCTTTGTAGAACTGATCACCCTCCCTATCATAACCGTCGAATGTACCGAACCCTCATTGATCTTCTTACTTCTTCTGAGGAAAAACAGCTTCGACCAAAACCCGCCTTTCTTCTTCCCATGTCTAACATCTCCTCCTTGTGCTCGAGCGACAAAGGCCATGGATTTACTTTTTGTAAGCACATTCTTAACACTCCCCAAGAAAGACATGGTCGTGGACCCTTTTGGCTCGGAAACCACAGAGTAGAGATGATGGACCGGAGACGACTCAGACGAAGTGTAATGAGAAGAAGATAAAGAAGAATAAGAAGAACAAGAGGAGGCAATGTTGATTGTGTTAGTACATGAACTTGATGAAGATAACTGAGAGAGTCTTTCTCTCAAACAAACCGAGCAAACTCCCGGTGATTGCCGGTGGTTCGGGTGTTTCTTGCAGAGCACATCGGACTTTGATCGGCTGATTTGGTCATTCTTTAATTTCTTGTTTTCCATTTTTTTTTTTGTTTTTATTTTTGCTTCTTGTTGTGTGTGTGTATGTTCATACAGTGTTTGTTTGTTTGTTTTTTTTTCCTTTCTGAAAAATGCCTTTTTGACAGTTTGAGTTTGAAAGATTTTGTTGAGGATTTGGCGGACGGTTGGGATGTAAGTGGGGGCTGAGATGCTTTATGTGGGATAGTGGGTTGGCTGGAGTGGAAAAATTCTACTCAAATTAGAAACAGAAAATGAAATCCAACTAAAAATAAGGAAGAAGCATAAAATTCGATTACAGAATTGGTCTAATTTCTGTTAGATTTTTTTCAAAGAAATTATTTGGAAGTGAGAAATCTCGGTAACAGTTTTAGTGAGGTTATATGACTGAATTAGTAAGAGATAAAATGGTGATACATATCATATCATGATACTAAATATCTATCTATCTAAGCTTCTCTCTCAGGCCCAGTGTATATTTTTTTATGGGTAAATTACATTAACACCTCTTGAGGTTTATATTTATTATAATTTTTCCCCCTCACTTTTTAGAAATTACATCCCTTTTCTTGAGATTTAAAATTTCATTACAGATTTACTGTAGGAAAATCGGGAATTAGCGGCATTTTTAAAATGCCGTAATAGGCTGAAAAAACGCCGCAAAAAGATAAAACAACGTTTTTAAAATTCGTTGCTGATGCGGCCGTCGCTGTATCTTTGTGGCGTTTCAAAAACGCCACTAAAGATTTTAAACGACGTTTTTTAAAACACCACTAATTCTTTGCCGCTGTTAACTATGCACGTTAGAGGGGTTATCTATGACGTAACGATGACGATATTTTGCGACATTTTTAAGAAAAACGCCACGATTTCTCCTTTTTTATATAAAAAAAATCAAAATCATAAATAATGATCTTCTGACTTTTGTTCAAACCAAACCTATATCGTCTGTTACCATTTTCAAAATATATAACCATAATGTGAGTGAGCATTCATTTTTCAATTTTTCATAAAAAAATAAAATAAAATAAAACCCCTTAAAACACAAATGACAATATAAAAAAAATAAAAATAAAAATTGTTAATATTTTCTCATTTTAATAAAGAAATAAATAATAATATTCAGTGTGCTCTCCAAATTCTCTGAAAATAACTTCAAAGCTCTCGTCAGCTTCATCAAGTCATCCCATCATCTTCACCAAAATAATGATTATATACCTGAATCATCCAATTCCATTAACACAACTTCAATAAACTTGAATGGTTGGAAAATCTACATACTCCTGCATACCATGTCAAGAACGTTAGAAAGATAAGAAACTATGAACCAGCATGACTAGACTAAGAAAGGTAAGAAATTATACTTAAAAAAAATCTGGCAAATAGAGAGAGTTGTACCACACCTTTATAAAGAAAGGTAACAGACAAACCTGAAGCATAAATAGAGAATGCTATGAACCTGAACCATGTGCACAACTACTAAATCTCATTAGCAAATCTTTGAAAAGCATGCTATGAATAGTAACAGAAACTACAGCATTTTAAACGAATCAGCATGCTATGAATGTATACATGTATACGGATCCATCTGGTTTCAAACGAATCAGCACCGCATCATCATCAAATCAATCGGTAACTAAATAGAAATTAGATCCCTAGGTGTCGATAAGATGGTAAGATGAGAGGATTTGTTATAACTTAAATCTACCTAATAGCTATATGATGTAATATAGCAGTATATACTTCCTCCACACTGTTCTTCCCAAGCCTTACCAAAAACATTTAGTATCTTAAGGTAGACACCAAATCACAGTACCAAATCATAGTACCTAGTTTTGTGCTGGTCTTGCGATTGGCTTAGAGTCCAAATCATAGCAGACTAGAGCCCTGCCCTCAATAAAATAAATGAACCCATAATAAGCTTATAAATCTTTTGATAGTAGTAAAACAAACAACTAAACAATGGTATATGATTATTTATTGGCAGATTTGGGTAGAGGAATTGTAGATTCTCTAACAAGAAATAGATTCATATCAAATAGTGTTACATCTATGAGATTGAAAAATAGGTTTATCAAAGAGTATTTATCAGGACCAACAACCAAGGCGATACAATTTACAAATCTATGTCTGAATGATAATTATTAAAACAAATCATATTGCATTTACTTTCAAGACATTGATCGGCAACACAATTCAATATCGAGAATGGTAGCCAACATTATCAGAAGAGAAAGTACATAGAGCAAACCTTGGGGTTTTTGAAGATGTCACTTGGATCATTTATCACAAACCAACCAAGTCACCAACCAGGGACTATCAATTGCTTTGACAAA